GAAGAGCAGACTCATATAAGTCAAACAATGTCTTTTTAGAGATAATGAAACAGGTCTACAGAAGGACATCCCCGACTTGGCCGCCAGTCCCTCTGTGGATGAGTATAAATGAGTATAAATGGAGACCCTGGTCTCCAGCGCTCAGTCCAGAGCACTTTGAAAGTGGTCCTGTGGCCAGGACCTGCCTCCCTTCCTTCCTGTAGCCCTTGAGGATGACTGAAAGACCACAGGAAGAACAGCGATTCCAAGGGTGGAGAAGGATGTAATAGCCTTTGCAGAGAGGACTTTGCAGCTCTCTTATCCTCTCTCTGGGAGTTACTAGGTCATTTGCAAAAGGCATGGGAAGAACAGCTGATGAAAAGGTCTAATAGTTTGGAAAAGTGCTTAACCTTATTGCTCTATTTCTGGATTTTCCCCCACGGCCAAAGACTGTTGAGATCTTGATTTCCCCCGGAGGGTTCCCATTTAGGAATGCAGTGAAACCTCTGAAATCCAGAGGAATTGGGGAGAAGGCCAGCTGGAATTAGGGAACGTCCAAATTCTTTTTAAGAACATCCACATCCATTGTTTTCAAAGACATAGACTCACAGATGTGGAAGGAGCTTAGTCCAGCTCCTCCTTGGTGCAAGAACCCCTTGTCCTTCAACCTGCACTGGGCTTTATTTGGGTGTCTCTTGAATGCTTCCCATGACAGGAGGCTCACTGTTCTGACAGGAAACTTCATTCACTTTCAGAAAAGTTTTCCTTCACCTGAGCTGGAATCTACCTTCCTGTAACGGTTCGGATTGCTTTTCAGTATTCCTATAGGACAGATGTGTGGCTTTTACCTCAGTGCTCCTTAAATATCTGGGCAGTTATCATGCACCGACTAGCTCTTCTTCACAGCATCCTCCTTCTGCACACTGACCACCCAGAATATCCAACTGTTATTTATATAACAAATGTCATCAACTCCAATTAGAAATATAAACTGCTGTTTCTAATTAGTCTCTAAATTAATGGCTACATAAATTCAGAGCTGAGCAGAGCTAAGTGACCAATTGCCCTGGTCTCATTACTGTACAGATGGCGAACAAACTGAGATCCACAGAGGAAAACTGCTTCATCCAACTTGAAAAGGGAGAGAGGGAGAGAGGTCAGCCTAGTTGCATGAATATTCCAATCAAGAACACCTGACATCTCATTTTGCCTCCATTATTACCAAGACACAGTATTTCTAAAGTTCCTGAAAAGTTTTTACTCTAAGATATTTACAAGATTACTCCTTCAAATTACGTTTGCAGGGTTAGCAAAGTAGGGATGAGGACGGAGCTGAATTTAGAGGAGGTTACACTGTCACTGAAAAGTACCCTTCAAAATATGAATCCTGCTTGCCCTCTACTGTCAAAAGATCATCTCTCTTTCCCCGGGATGCAAGCTCAAAAGGGGTTGCACATCTACAGGACACCGAGGCTGTTAAAATTTTCTTCAGGCTCCGCTCCCTACTCAATTGAAGAGAACTTCCCAACTTGGGGAGAGAAAATGCATTTGCCAGGATGCCATTTCTGCTCCACCCTGCTGTGCTGGTTTTAAGGTTTCAGATCCTCTTTTCAATTTGGCCTGCTTCTCTGATGCAAAGACAAAGCAGAGACTGAGAGCAGCCACCAGGCACTTCAGTGATTGGTTTCCTGCCCCAGTCCCCAGTAATGCTACAGTCACATGCTCCGACGGGAACATTCCTCCTGCTCCCACCCACAGCAATCGCCCTCTTCTCTCAACAAGGTATTGCATTTCCAGTTCTTACACTTGTCCTGGCATGGTTTATAAGCTGCCTGTGCTGCTTCCTGGTTTGCCTGGGTGCTAGGCTCCATGGGTGCTGGGCTCACAGGGACCTGGGTTCCATTCTTAGGCCTGCTGCTAGGCATGGTGTGGCCTCCGAGAGTCACTTAGCCTTTCCTAACATCATGTCCTTGTTGCTAGAAGACAATTAAATGGCCTACACTTCAGGATGTTAAGATGACATAATGCCTAAAAGGCATCTAGCACAGCGCCTAATATTTAGTAAGATTCCATAAACGGTATCTGCATAAATTATACTTTATACTTATAATAGTATTGTATTATTAGCAATTACATTTATACTCACAGTAGTAATTATTGCTCATCTGTATATTAATATTGTGCTCCTGAAGGCAGAGATGGAGGCCTATATTTTGCTTATACTGCACACAGTAGGTGCTCCATAAATACTGCCTGTTGATTCCTGTGTAGGCTTCTTTCCACAGAAGGTTCACCCCTGGAAACATTCTAAGCCTGACTACCAGCAGTTCCTATTCCAGCTCCCCTTTCCCCAGATTCCTTCCCCCGTAATGATCTCAGCAGGACCCACCCGGTCCTGCCCCCCACACCTGTCAGCTTGCATCTCAGGATAAGGTTTCCATGTCACAAGTCGGAGAACTTGCTGTCCAGGCAAAGAAAACTTTATGAGGATGATTCCAACACAAACCTTATATAACCAGCCTGGCGGCAAGCAGGCACGGAGGGACACCGACAATGTCTGACAATGCCCGCTTCAAAAAGAAGCAAAGCAAAACCAGAGGGGGTAAAGCAATGGATTGAGCTATGCCTAAAATGCTCTTTCTGGACAAGCCTCAGAAAACCGATCAAAGTCCTCCTATTTAAAATTCTCCCAGAGGAACACAAATATGGCTAACCACCCTGTAGCTGGGAATCTGAGTGAACATTTACAGCTGAAATTTTAGCTGAAATTACACTGGATTACTCTCTAACCACACGCATACACATATATGTTTATATATATAAAGTATATGTATATATACACACACTTTTTTGTATATATATTGTGCAAACATATGTGTATGTGTATATATATATTTGCACAACATATATACAAAGTTGTTTATTAATAATATTTTTCTCTGGAACTTACATATGATGGCAGAAATATTTCCTTTTTTTAATTTTTGAATTAAGACTGAAATTTCTACCTGACAGAGCCTTGATGTTCCTACTGGTTCCTCTCTCCCAACTTTCAGTTCTCTCTCCTGATTTCCCTGGATGCCGAGGTTACCCTAGTAGATGCTTGCTGAGTGAAAGAACAATTCTTTCTCTAGTCCCTACTGTAGTTTATTTGTTCATTGCCTGAATTTGGTGTTCAGGTCCCAAAAGCAGTAAAAAAAAAAAAAAAAAAAATCACTGAAATTAATTGGTTGTGTCACAGCCCTGAGAAAAGCTTCCCCAGTGCAGGTGAGGGCAGATTCAGTGACAATGTGGTGGAGAGAATATATCCATTCCTGGAATGACCGTGGCTTCCTGGCCGTAGTCCCGTCTCTGGCATCCTTGGCTTCTTACCTTGGGCAGATCCTTCCCCTCTCAAACTTTTTGGTTTCTTTGGATGTCAAACGCTTTCTATGGGCTCTGTCAGGTCCAGATCCCCTTGAGGCTACGAGGAGCATGAAGATGAGCTGTAGAAGCTGCCTGCATTTCTGGGTGTGGAGCCCAGAGAGAGAAGGAGAATGTGACAATACGTATGAAAGCCCTTGGAGAAAAGTAAAAGTGCCGAGGGGTACTCGCTCTCCACCGGATACCACTGTCCACACAACCTGGCGCCTTGCCCCCCATAGCCTTGTGCCTGCTCCGGACACCCCATCACTGAGCTGCAGGAAGCAGAGGAGGCCAAGGCTTTGCTGGTTAGGGGCCTTGGCTGGGACAGAAGGGGAGAGAGCAATGGAGTGAGCCTCAGAAGCCAGTGAAACGGCAATGAACCCCGCGGGCTGATCCTCTCCAGGCTGGCCTTGCCAAACCTGGGCCAAGCTCTGGCTCCAACATACAAGGCAAAAATAGAAAGGGGGTGGGAGAAGAAATGTGTTTACTTTTGAGATTTTCCCTCATGTGCCTCTTAACAGTATTATAATCTCTCCACAAACAGACAGTAACGACTTACAGGTCTCGTCTCCATTGATAAACCCTCCCAAACAACTCAGGCTTCACGGTTAGTATCTGGGCAGCTGGAAGGGACGCGTGGAAGGTGGCAGGACCAGCTGGAAGGAACACTGGCCTGGAGTCTCTGAACTGGGTGGACAGTGACAGACCTTCCTTTTCTGAGGTTTTGCACAATCAGGGTTTCATTAGACAGAATCTAAAAATCTATTTCAATTTTTGAAGTTTCTGTCTGCGGTTCTCAGTCAAGGGCAATTTCCCTGCTCAAGGGGGGCATCTGACAATATCTGGAGACATTTTTAGTTGTCACGACTCAGGGGTCCTCCTAGCATCTGACAACACACACGACAGACCCCAGCACAGAGACTCATCAAAGCCAAAACACTAATAGTGCTGAGGCTGAGACTTCTCGGTTTATACTCAAGTGCCCAGAGTCCAAGAGGGGGAGACAGGGACAGAAGCAAAGCAAGAGGAGGGGCTAAGCCCTGGTTTCTAGGTCACGAAGTATTCATCAGTTAAGTGTTTTCTAGCTTTTCTTCCTGTGACTGGTGCCCTTTGATTTTCCCTTGAATTTACGGAGCTATGTTTGAGCAGCGTTTTTCATGAAAACGTCTTTCTTATCAAAAACGTCAAGCCCCGTGTAGCACAGAGATCTCCCCAATAAGGCCCGGCACAGATACAAATAGAAGCAGCTCTGAAACAAGTAGAACTGGAAGGTGGGTGGTGGGGGTGCTTGGAGGGACAAAACAGATGCCCTTAACTCGGTTTCTATGAGTCAGTGTTTCTGATGTAACAGCACACAATAATAACCGTAGGACGAGCGAGACAGCTATGCTGAGAGCAGGCAGAGCTGACTTGGAGCACTAGCGTCAGGAGACAACAGGTCTGCAGCGGCAGATCCAAAGGCAAATGAGAGGGTTAAGCAATAGGAGCATGTCACTCCCGGGTCATTCCTGTATTAAGTCACTGGGCAGTGATTACAAATAGTTACCTGTGGTTTCCAGTGGGGGAGGCAGCCACACGCTAGTCAAGGGGTTTTGGAGAAACAGGTGCAATGAAGTCATGGTCAAACAATTTATTTACTGTAAACCTTAGACTTTGCTCAGGAAAACAACTGAAGCTGCCCCTCAAATCCCTGCCTACAACACCCCAGTTGAGCAAATAAGAGGAGCGGGGAGAGTCCGTGTTCACAGCAGAAAGGTCCAAGATACTCGAGACCCTTGAGTCCAAGGATGCAGGAAGGAACGCCTCCTTCAGATACAAATTACCAGCAGCATTATATTACTCCTAATACTTGACCAATGAGGTAGATACACGGAAAAGTCATCACAACACAGCAGCTCCAGGTCCTCTGGGACTGAAGCCCTTCAGACATAAACTTACAAGTCCCATGCAGAGAGGAACTGAACTATACAAGAAACAAGTAATCACTCAAATACATTTTCTCTTTTTTACAGCTTAAAAAAATAAAAAAACGGGCAGAAGGGGGTCTTTCCTCCTGCATACCTCTATACAAGTTTATTCTAAATTTATTACACTCAAGTTAAATAGTCTGTTTAGTGTTTGGCTGGGAGGGGGAGTCTTAGAAAGTAGCAAAGTCGCACTAGAGCAGCGAGTCATTTGTACTACAGTTCCTCCCTTGGGAATCAATGCTATCACTAGGCACAGTACCTTGCCGGCTCACAAGGTCTTCTGTGCCCCGGGGGTCCTCACAAAGCAGTCTGCAGTCTTTCTCCTGCCCCAGGTGGTATCCGCCCTGCTCTCCGGTGAAGTCAGTTCGGCCGTTGCTGTTGTTGGAGTAGCCATTCCCACAGTCCTTGAGAGAAGACCTGCGCAGGCACAGAAGCTCCTGGAAGGCAATCCTGAAATCCGGGCTGCGACAGTAGATGAGGGGATTGAACGCCGAGTTGACGTAGCCCACCCAGTTCAGGAGGATGTAAACTTCCTTGCGGATGAGGTTGTCCTGGATCACGTGCACGATGTTGACGATGAAGAAGGGCAGCCAGCACAGGGTGAAAGTGCCCATGATGATGCCCAAAGTCTTGAGGGCTTTGTGCTCCTTCAAGCAGAACTTGGAGGCCCTGCGGTGTCCATGCCCGCTCCGTCCATCCTGCTCCACTTGGCTGAGGTTTTGGGCATGGAAGCGGCCCTCCGATCTGTCGATCTTCTGGAGCTGCCTTTTGGCCACCTGGAAGACCCTGGAGTACACGAAGACCATGACCACCAGGGGCAAGTAGAAGGACACGATAGAGGAAGCAATGGCATAGGCCTGGTTCGTGAAGAAGTCACAGCAGGTCTCCCTGTGGTAGCAGTCGGTGGCTTCCTTGTGGGTGGCCCGGTACCAGTGCATCTGGATGGGTAAGAAGGAGGTAAGGCCCGATACGATCCACACCATCAAGATGACCACTCGAGCCTTATTCTTGGTCAACAGGCTCTGGTACTTGAAGGGTGATGTGATGGCAAAGTAACGATCCACGGCGATGACGCACAGGGTCTCGATGCTGGCCGTGACGCACAACACGTCAATGGAAGTCCAAAACTCGCACCAGAAGTTGCCAAAAGTCCACATTTTCATGAGGATGTGGCAGGCCCCAAAAGGTACCACCGCCAGGCCCATGACCAGGTCAGCACAGGCTAGGGAGGTGATGAAGTAGTTGGTGACCGTCTGCAGACGCTCGAACTTGGCGATGGCTGTGATGACCAGCACGTTTCCAAACACGATGGCCAGGACGATGAGCGACATGAGAATGCCCATGCCCACCACCCACGCCTCGTCCCGTTCCTGCGTGACATTTTGGTCCGTCGCGTTGCTGTGGTTGAGCGTCAGCAAGGGGAGGCTGTGGTTCCCCGGCTGCCCCATGGTGCGCAGGCTGGCAGGTGAGCGCGCCGACAGCGGGCTCCTGGCCGCGCCTCAGCGGACTGACCTCCCGCGGGGCGCTGCGGACAGCGAGCGGGCGCCTGGAAGCCTCATTCAGCCGCCGTGGGGTGGGTGTGGTGGGGGCGCGTCCTGCAAACTCAGCTTGCGGGTTGCGCTGAGCTCGCGGTGACTGTCAGTCCCGTCTTGCGCTCTGGAGAAGCTGACTCGGAGTGCGCGCCGCCCGTTATGTGCACAGGACTTTTGGGGCACTGCCCTCTCGGTGACGCGCTGGAACTTTCCTCCAATAGCGCGCGGGCAGCCCCAAAGGGAAGAGGCCCCCACCCCTTCCCGCCCCTTCCCTGCCCCCGCCCGCCCCCTCCAGGGGCTGGCCGGGGCGGGGCCCAGCTACTCCCCAGCGGGCGGGCCGCCACTCCCTCCCAGCTACCCTGGCCGGCCCTGGAGCTGAAGCGGGGGCTGCCTTGCTCACCCGCCAACTCGGGAGCCGCTTTTGGCTCTCGACGGCTGCTACCTGTCTGCCCGGGGTTCCTGTGCGACCTGATGTCTCAGGGCAAAGGGCTTCGCACCGCGCTTCCCCGCGTGAGGAGAAGAGGCGAGAGGGCCCACCGAGACACGCACGTACAGGCACACGTGCACCCCGACAGACATGCTCAGACTTATAGGGAACCGCAGCCACTGACTGACACACCCGTCCAGCGCAGCTACCAGCTCCCCCGCGCGCGCACACGAGCCTGCAGGCACAAAGTCACCCCTGTTCAACACAGAGACGCGGCCCGAAACAAACACAGAAGCAGAAGTCAGCCACACAAAAACGCTCCCTTGGACGCCGGCTGAGCGCCACTGACACAGAAGCCCACGTCCAGGTACTCCACACCTCTCACCCAGGCACCCAGATCTGATCTCTCCTCCCCGAGCGCCCCCCTCCCACCCCCTACACACGCGGACACCAACACAAGGCATATTCCCTTTCAAACATTTGGCAAGACCACAGGAGGTGACTTCAACAGCTGCCGATTTCCTCAGCATACTCTCTGCAAGTACTTTTGGTGCCCTCCTTGGGAATTTGCAGGCATTGAGACACAGAATTTTACCCTTTTGTTTTCGTTCAGAGCTGGGATATGCATGTAGGTTTGGGGAGCATGGGAGAAAATTGTATGTTTTAATTTTTAATTCTTAGAAATGTGGCATCGGACCCTCATCATGTGGTGGAATGAAAATGTATTGAAAATGGAATAATTGCCTTTTCAACCTCACCTTCTTCCATTATCCCATCGCAACTGAAACAATCTTTTCAACTTCAGGGTAGTTTGTTGATCAGCTGGGTTGAGTGGTAGGAAATTGCCACTCTGTCATATTGACTTTTTTTTTTTTGTCATTTTGACTTTTAACAGGGCATTTCATATAGTTCAGTTTATTAAGAGCTTTGGAAACCACAGAGAGCAAAAGATAGTTTTAAAGAAATCAGATCAAGCCTTAAAACTAGGGATGAAATCCTACCCTTTGCATCTGGCACATAACTTTACTGTTACAAAGAAGTTAATTTTCAGGGTTTGACTTCACATGTATTATTAGTAGTGTCTTTCAAAAACTGAAAGCATTTCTTGCAGTCAAACCAAACATACTTTGTGGATTACATAATAACATAACAATGGCTAACATTTATGGAACATTTTGCTGTGTGCTTTTCATGCATTATTCTATTTAATCCTTCCTACAGTCCCATGGTGGGGGGGGGGAGTTTTATTTTTAGCTTAATTCACAAAGAGGGTTCAAGGGGCACAGGGCCAGGCAGTGCCAGAGGCAGGGGGTGACTCTTTACATTTTTCATTGTACTGCATCATCAAGCGCTAAAAGAGGAAGTACTACAACTGTAATTGAAATACCCAGGTTCCAGATCCCTCTGTCTTGGAACTTTCTAGCTCACTTTCCTTATGGAGCCTAATTTTCTCCATATCTAAATGGGGACTGGACTCATATGATTCCATTGAACTGAGAATCAAATGAAATAACTCTAAATGTGAAATTGTTCTTGTACATATAAACGCCACATGGATATCTGGGTTATCAATGAAATTTACATGAATTATTTAGTATATTTAATCTTTTCCACCAAAACACTGAAACACTTCAGGACAAAAAGTGGCTTGGGCTACTCTGCAAGTAGTGTTTGTACTCAGAAACAAAATTTAACTTAAATGCACCCTTTAACTTCCTACCGTCACTAGCAGAAAGTCTTTTTATGGTTGCCTTAATGAATAAATATTTCCCATAAAATCCACAAATATTAATTAAGGATGTATTATGTTCCCAACGTTTTCAAAATATGCCCAGCCCATATTTGTGTTTTCCAAAATTGGCTCTGGTATGATACATTTTAGGAAGAGACATTGTGTTATGCAACCATGTTTCTTTAAATATACATCTACCCTGAATTGTGGAACTAAGCCATGTAAACCCTCCTTCCTGTTGGCAGAGCTATGGAATAAATAAGTGTGTTGTTTAACCTTCCCATAACAACAAAAAAGGACAAGGAAAACCCATTTTTAAGCAAACACCAATTGATGATTCAGATGTACACATAAATCATTGAAAAGTTTTATTTTGAATATTTTGGGAAACACCTTTAAAAAGCCCACGAACATTAAAGAAGGGAAAACTGCTTATGGGAATGAGTGAGTTCTGGACCTGTGGCCACCAGTCTTGCAGTCCCTCACTCACTCCATCACCAAGTTGGTAGGAATTTCTAGATGTTGTCTTCCTGATAACAGTCTTCTCCACACCTCCCCTTAACACCACAGGGCTCAAAGCATTAGAATTTGAAAAAATACAATAGATCATTTAGTTTCTTCTCCCAAATGGGGAAACTAAAATGCAGAAACAAGTGTAGCAGGGAAACTAGGGGTCCAGGTGGCCTCCAGGCCTCACGTGTTCTCAGTGCCCCATGCTGCTGTTTCTGTTTGCCTACTGGGCTTAATGCTTCAGTTGAACTAACAAGTTCTTGGGACAAACTGCACCTTTATCTGATATGCAAAAAGCAGGCTTTTTATGGTGATTGGTAGTGTCTAATTGCATATTTGGTCAATCCCTTTAAGACACTGATTTGTCATATCCTGCCTGCCAAACTGGAAAAAAAAAAAAAACTCCACAATTTGATTTACCTAGTGAATGTTGGAATGTAGGAGTAAGTCTGTGAGATGCCAGGGATACTCTCACGTCAATAGCTGGATTCCTTAGGTAATCCTCATCCTGGTCTAGTCTTAGACAAGATTCCTTCCACTATTATGATCCTCTGAGCAGGGAATTTATCTCTGAATGATGGTTTTTAAATATCTGTCTTTAATATTATTGCTGTGCAACATCATATTATTAAATTTACATCAAATGAGATTAAATGCATGTGAAATGCTTAGCAGACTGCCTTGGAAAATAGATAGCCATCACTGTTATCTGATTTTTTAATCTCTATTCCCCCCTCTCTATATACCAATATATAGATATAGATATTTTGTTTATTTGATCATATATATGTATGAAAGAACTTTTGAACATGATTACTGAGTCATTTATTTTTAATTTGAACTATGTGGAAAAGTGATTTTGAAAATTAGCCATTGTCATTGTTATGTAGCTGGACAGGATGTTTGTGATTTTTAGATGAAGCTTCTCACTGTCCAGTCTGCTCCTTACACAGGCACAGGGCACCCACCAGAACTCTTGGAGAGCCGTGTCAGCGAGGGCAAGTTTACCAGCTCCTTTCCTCAGTGAGTGTTTCCCCAACTATGCAGATAGTGAACTGAAATCCCTCCTCTTATAGCTTCTACCGGGGATCTTAAGTCTGCCCCCTGGAGGCCACTTGGACCAAGTCTTCTGTCTTTTACACTGTATTCTTAAGCTCTTGGGAGACTGACTCCCTTAAGAGTTCACGTGCAGCTTCTCCTCTTCAGATTAAATATTCCATGTTCCCTTAGGTCCAGAGTCTCCTTCACCATCAAGGGCAGGCTTCTTCTCTTCATAGTTGGGCTTGTTGCTGTCTAAATTTAACATCAATACCTGGAAGATTCTAGAACAGGTCATCAATCAATTTGCAGTCACCTTGGCAACCATAAAGCAAGCAGAGCGACCAGCAAAGCTTTCAGAACAACTGATTATGCCAGATGAATTTAATTTCCTGCTATGCTAGTGTTTTATGAGAGACATGCTAATAAATTCTCCATGTCTCTGGAGGACACAACCAAGCAGAATGGCATTAAATTAAAGCAGGAGAGACTTCAGTTGGCCCTATGAAGGGCTCTGGGGCCTGAAGACAATCAAAGGGGCAGAACTTTAGTGGCTTTTCTCAGTTGGGATTTTCCAGAGAATGAAGCCTTACAGAAAATTCTTTGAATGACCATTCCTCCCAATTCTATCAAGGAAGATATAGTGCTGTTAACTTCCAGGTATGTAGGAGAGAGAAGAAGTCATTGCAATGTAATGGATGCCTCAGGGCATAGGGTTTAATTCTTTTGATGAAAGTGGCATTGCATGGAGTCTCCTGTGTGGGAAGGAACATCGTGTGATGATGATGGTATCTCTGATAGAAGCAGTTTGGTGCAAGGGAGGAGGAAAGGATGGGGGATTAGGGCCTGTCCCAGGACAACTCTGATGTTATCTGTAACCTTCAGCTCCTGCCCTTTCGTCTCTGAACCCCCATGTTCATCCATCAGATGATGACTTCTGAGGACCTTCCTACTCTGAACTGAGCAAACCTCTAGAGGAAAGGAAGCACATTGAGGGCCATTGAGGAGATGCATTCCTGACTCTGAAGAGCTACTGAGGAGTTGGCCAGCAAAAGCTGTCAACATCCCACCACACAACTTGCTTCTGTTTTCTCTGCATCTTTCTGCATTTCCCCATTGTGATTTCTGCAAGTCCCTTAGCAGGTGTGCTGTGCTTTACTAAATATTTCTCTTCACATTGACTTCCTTCTAAAATTCAAATGCTTTTCAAACATTTCCAAAGAAAACTTTGCATTACTGCCATTAACACACGTGGAAAAATGATGTCATCTACCATAAATAGAAGGTAACCATGAAAACAAAACAATGTTAATAAATTCTAGTTAGATTTTGTTTCCTGCCAAAGTTCTGAGCCTAAGGCCTGCTTTCTTTTTTATTGAAAAAAAAGATTAGCAAGTGCTGGGACGATATTAATGGTCTTCTAACACCAAATGGGACTTT